CTTTGCTCAGCAGCTTCGCTCGTTGTAAACCAACCAATCAGCGCACAGCTCACCTAAATATTCATGATCATACCATAAAATGAAGAAAACCTGTCGTTTAATTCTAGAGCTTTTAACCAGGCTGCATTAGAGCTCATAGAACAGCAAATATGCTATTTTCAGCCCAACCAATGTTACACACCCTATTCAGAGACCTTATGGACCAGCACCAAATACCTTATATTGGATGTCTTTAACAGGGGGTCCGCGACCCCTAGGGGGTCCATGGAGGTACTGCATGGGGGTCACGAAATGTTTTAGTTGATTAGACTTTATCTATATTCCTCCCTGCAATTATTTCCACTAATTGAAATGTCTTTAAATCCACATTAACATGAATTCAACACACTGTAGTAAACAGATAAATGGAGGCAGAAGATATCTTTCAGTCAAATGTACCAGGGGGCCAGTAAGGGGGCCAGCGTGTTTTCATGGGGGCACCGAAAAGCATGAAATAAAATTAGAAAAACAAGTAATTCAAATATATTAAGAGAGCTGCATGAAGTGAAATTTCTATTCAAAAGGGGTTAATTAAAATTATTTTTCTTATTAGATCAATCAACATTCGTAAATTAAGAATTTTACATATTTTTTTTTATAAATAACAGTTTTGTATAAAATCTGAATTAGAACTCAAGAAAATTAGAGCAATTTGTTTTCAAAAAAACATTTGGCAGATGAAAACTGGGATCTTATCTCAATTCCACTGAATTTCTCACCTTATTGTTTTTAAGTAATTAGTAAAACTGACTTTATGAAGAAAAAAAAAATTAATAGATCCAAAGGACCTATCAGTAACCATGTCTGTTCCAGCGCAGATCATCATTAGAATTTCTTTGAGTTTTATGTCTTCAGTACAGGGACCAGGACATGATCTACAGGGGCACTGGCCCCCGTTGGCCCCTGTCTAGAACCGCCCATGATCAATGCACACATTCAGTGACACACAGGAGCTCTTTCAAGCTGGGCACCGTTTCATTCAAAACACCAGGAATCAGAAATACTTTAATAAATCCCAGGGAGGGATTACTTTAGTTACATTACTCCATACACAGGAAAAAAATCGAAATCTAGATAAGTAATTGTTTTCTTAAAAATAAGTGCATTTAGTCTTGAATTGAGGAGATAAAAGATACATTTTGCCAATGGAACAAGACAATTTAGATTTAAAATAAGAAAACACAATTACATTGTTTGATTTCAAGTGCATTTTATCTAATTATCTTATTTTAGAGTAAAAATACTCATTTCATTTACCTACTGAAACGGTAAATACACTTAATGTAAGACATTTTTACTTATTTCTAGATAATTTTTCCAGTGTATGTAATAGAGTGACTATAGGACCAGTGTGATAGAACACAGTTTTATCAGTTTGAGGGTTGAAGACCCCTGCCGTATATAGTCATTCTATGACTAGAGTCCAGAGTTACATTCCCAGACTTCACAAAGCAGAGAAAAAAAGTCTAATGTAGAGTCAGTGGGAACCCGCTTCTCTGGAATTGACAGAGCACAATGAACCAGATGCACCACTCCTCCAGAGGCTGGGTGGAACTCTTTATTTACACAATTCAAACAATATAATCATATATTGATGTATAACAAGTGTCAGTTAAAAAGGGTGGAAAAAGAGCATTTAGCTCAGAGACCTGGTTTTAATGATTCTATAAGCAGTTTAGAATAATCTGGTCCAGATGTGAAGTCCAGCTGTTGTTTTAGAGCCAGACTAACTCTAGTTTGACATAGACACTAAAAAAAATGTAAAAATCAGTTTTATTAAAGTTTCACAAATCCCAGGTTTTAATTATTCTACAAGCAGATTAGATCAATCTAGTCCAGGTTTGATGTGTCTGGGTGTTGTAGTTTTTTAATTAGAGTAGATTAAAAAAGCAGAAGGTTGGGAAAAATTAAGCGGAATCGCCCTTTACTTGTTTTTTATGTTTTTCCTCACTCTACCATCAAGTGTAGCAAAACCATAGAGAAAGGTTGGAACTGAATTCTTTTTCTACGGCGACAGAGAGGAGACGAACCTCCTTTTTCATATACATCTCATTTTCCTGTGAAAGATTTTCAGATGAATCAGAAAGCAATAAAATAATTCAGCATCCCTTACCTGACCCAGGATCAGCTGTGAATCAAACTTCTGACTTTAACAGAACAAAGAACTGGATCCCACCTGCTAGATCTAGAGCTGCTAGAACCGACAGCAGAGCTGATTGGCTGGATGGTTTCACTTTCAACTTTCATGGAACATAAAACTGAAACCTGTTGCTCCGGCTGTAACGTATTATGTAAATATATGGAAGGCTGTTTAAGACATAATTCAATTCTCCAGTTCTTATGTCCTGCAGCAAATGTGTGACCTATATATAACTATATAAACATTAATCTAAAGCACTCCAGCAACATATATATATATATATATATATATATATATATATATATATAGATCTTTTTTAAGATTTTAATATACGTGTTTGAATTTCTTTTGCACCATTTGTTTTAGATCAACTGTAGCTAAACTAGGGTTGTCAAAAGTATCGATACTCAAAAAAAGTATCGATACTGAAATGTTGTATCCGGATACAATACTCATTTTCAAAAGTATCGATACAGAGCTTTCTGAACACTGTGTGATTGAATAATTCTACGCACTTTTCAGTTTCAGACTTTTTTTTGTAACAGATGCAGCTGCTGAGAATTATTTTTGTTTCCTAACCGGTTTGGCTAGTGTCATTATGTGTGCAAAACATAGCCAAGGAAGGAAATCTTAATTTTAATTTTGTAAGTTTTTTATCAAGCTTGGTTAATACTGTGCACAGCAAACAACCTCAAAATATTGTTTTTTTTGTTTATTGTATTTATTTTTTGTATTTTAATTATTAATCAAAATATTCCTGTTGAAATTTGGAGTTTTGATTCTTGTGGTATCGAAAATGGTATCGAGTATCGAATATTTTCCTTAGTATCGGTATCAAGTTGAAAAGTTTAGTATCGTTACAACCCTAAGCTAAACTGAATGGGAGACATTTTTGATGTGCAACTCACTGAACACGATTT